GAAATTTTTTCGACTACCAAGGAGGGGGCTCCTAAAAAATTGAACCGCTAGCGAGGGGGGCTGCTAAAATTTCAAGCTTCGAGTTTCAATATCTTCATCCCCCCCCTTGTCATATTAAATAAACTTTCCCTTATCAAATCCGAACCCGAGACAATTTCTAGATAATGGTACAAATAAAGCTATATATATATATATATATATAAAAACGACGCTAATGGAAGCTAGCGAAAGCCCACCAATATACTGCTTTCAGTTCGATAACCGGCTGTAACCATAAACACTGAAAACTTCTTCTCCTGAAGACCCGACGGAAAGAAAAAACGACAAATCCGTGACTCGAAGACCTGTCGGCAAACAACAACAACAATAACGACAACTGAAAACTGGCCATGGGACTGGCAAGGCGCAAAAATCTATCAAAAGGGAGTTCCGAGATTTCGGATAGGGCCACAATTTTCCTATATCCATGCACATTTTTCGGGGTACCATTCTTCACCCCAAAAAGAGGACTCCAGAAAAAAGCAATATATATATTAGCGTTCTTAGTTGTTTCTAGTGAGCAGTTATGGCTAAGTAAGGATAACACTTCACAGTAAATTATTTTACTTGTGCTTTATTTTCTTCTGACCTGATTTGCATTAAAGTGAAATCAAATTCAGTGCAAGGAAAACTTTTCTTGCTCACACTTTGTTTAAACATGCAATAGCATGCTCATCCAGTTGCACTTCTCCAGTAGTAAGGTCAGTCCTCACCAGGCGATGCTCCACATAGTGGCTTTCCGTTGGCAACATGACAGCCTTCTTTGCTCTGTTCAGGAAAAAAGATATATATTGTGTTATAACCCAAGTCCATTTTAAACCTAAAAAATGCCACCCTTGTGAAGTACACAAAGCCCAGGATGAATGCTCTTGACCGATCGCAAAATGACTGGTGCGGCTATGGCCCGGCCGGCCAGTTCTGACTTTTGAAAAGCGCCCCAAGTCACTATTTTTTAACTTTGTATCACAGTGATGAAAATATTCTACCAACAGTATGTAGGGTGACCTTATAAACAGCCTGCCTCGATAAAAGCTTATTGCTTATTGTAATTCATTTGTTTGTTTGCGATTATTCAGTTAAAGGTTCAGCTGAAAGTTCCTCAGAACTTACTGAGAATGGCAATAACCAGTTCAAATGAGAGAAGTTCAAAGAAATGATTTATTTCAAACCAAGGCACAAGCTTGTTCAATTATCATACATTTAGATATATAAATGTATATGTCGGTCTGATTTTGCTGAAAGTTGCCCGTCAAGTTTTCGCTTGAACATGGGCAAACTTTAGTAAACTTTACTTAGCCATAGTAAAAAGCCCGAATATGGCCACAGTCATAGGTTATTACCACTGGTTAAAGGTACATAACAGTAAAAACACGCGACTAAGAACCTGGTTTTTAAGGTGGCTCAGTGGGCTTCTTCAGGGACAATACCTCCCAAGTTTGATTATAAACTACGTCCCCGTAAACAAAGATTTCAGTGGAAAAATTGCCACCACAGCTGTATTAGATAATTTGTTTTGATCAGGGTTACAAAATGACGTCAGGGTTACCATAGCAACGAAATGACGCCATTACCCATTTTATTTCCAGCCGTATTTCTCAGCACTGGGAACTGCTCTTCCAAAATCGTTAACGGAAGCTTTTCCTACAATAGCCGCTTCGATGTTTGTGAAGTTTAAGTGAAATCTATAAGAGCATTATCGAGATATTTTGCGATGAGGTTTTTATTGTTAGAAACACGGTAAAAACTGGACAATCTTTATGTTCGGCCGTTATTTTAAGAAAACGAAGCGCTTTTAAACCGAAATTTTACCTCATAGTAGTTGCAATCTTTTTAATGATCATGGAGAAGGGTGGGGAGCGCCAGAAACGCGCGCTCGTCTTGGAAAGGCCCAGAAACAAGCAGTAGAGATGACGGAATGGTAGGACAATAATTCCTGAAATTGGAGGTAAATCAAGAAACCGTCTGGAACGTCAACTACTGAGTTTTACCATGGCAAAGTTTGTTTTACATTCCTTTTAACTTAGTTGAGGCCTTTTACTAAAGCCCAAGTGTGACAACAAAAGATATCGTCAGAGCAAGTTTGGATCGTGATCGCGCTTTAGTTTCAAGTGACGTTTTCTCCGCCGCCAACGTCGTGCTATCTTAACTGTTCTAAAATATTATTACTTCGAGAAAGAAACTTAAACGACATACTTGTATAACGTATGGAACTGGCAACGGTGATTTTTCCCATCTTTCAGCGAGAGGAACATGGTAACGTCTCCCTTCAATATCCCCTCGCTCACAGTCATTTTTTGGACGGACGGCTCCCAATTAGTTGTCCTCTTTTGCATCACTGGTCCATCAGCAGGAAAGTTCATCCCAGTGAAAGTGGACTTGTGGATAAAGCAGTTGCGTTTATTACTGTCAAGGCTATCGAAGTAAAAAGTATTTATGAGACAATAGCAAAATTTATTTTTGTATTATTTTTATTATTATTATTATTATTATTATTATTATTATCAATATTGTTATATTTCTTATAATTAATTAGTTAATTCTAAATTTTAAGCGTCTTTGATCGTAAAATTAGTAAATTTATACCTTATATCCACACTGGCTATGCAAAATCCGCCATCTTCAAATTCAAGGCTTCTTTCCCACGAGTATCCTTCAGGAAATCATGGCTTGAAATAGTCAACGATGGACGCAGGATAATCAGTAAAGGCTCTGTTACCATAGCAAAACACAGCCGACAATATGTCAAAGGAGAATGGGAGGGGTCCACCCTTGGTTACTCGCAGTGTCAAGATCTGTTTTCCCCTACAAAAAAAACACAACAAGAATGAAATACAAATCGATTAAACTAAATGAGAAAAGTAGAGAAGAGCCTTTTGAGAACTAAGCTAAACACTGCCTATTTATCAGTCTAATTTAACTAAATAACAATACATGTAGGGGCTTAGGACAGCCTGCTATATAATTTAAATATAAAGTTTCATTTCGATTCTGCCATGTTAATCTCGCCCTTTTTCAAGATTAATGGCAAGTCCTATCACGACACAATATACTTTTATACCGCTTACCTAGCCTAAAGAATCATTAATACTGTTGAACAGGTTCATTTATTTAATTAGTTTTTATTTGTTCCTTCTTCAGAAAAGTAATAATTAATCATTATTGAAAAAAGTAATTTTTGAAATATAATGTCAGGTCACTTTAGTGGCAGAGTTGTTGAGATGATAGTTTGCGTAAATATGATAATATAAACGACGTTTGATCCCGGCCAGCAAAAAATTGACGATCGTCGTAGCCTATCATTTGCGAATAACACCGTGTTTTGATAAATCAATGTCAAATTTGCCATTCAAAGAAAAGTTGTTATTGGTTTTGAGTAATGTAGAATAACTTACATTTTTTTCTGGTTTTTACTTACGATGATTAGTAAAACGACTTTCACAATTCATAGAGCTTTCTGTTGCACCTAATGCCATAGTGTCTCTTTTGGTATGATTGAGTTTTCGGAATCTCTCGCCTTATACTCAGCACAGCTAATTTAAAATAATTTTAGAATTTGACTTTTCATCACAAAAATATCCCGAAATTGACGACTACTCTTATTTCTCTTAAACCTATAACAGTGAAGATCTTCAGTTGCCTTTTACTATGAAGGGAGGTGTGTTGATCGACTTACTCGTACGGCTTCCCCCTGCCTTCACCCTCGATTGTAAAGGAATGCCCATTGACAGATCCTTCCATGTGGTATGTCATCGTCATGTCATCTTTGATAACCTACATTCACAAAATGCACAATAGTGAATCCACATAAGAGCAGGTGTGGCTTACAAAGTGAAGCTTGAAGTTGTAATTATAAAAGGTTAGGAAGCTTAACATCGTTCTCGTTTGAAAAAAACAAAACAAAACAAAACAAATTAAGTTGGGCAAAAGTGAAGCTATTCTGAGGGTGAGTATCTACATGTCTCAAAAGATCGATTGACCTCCTATTCAATATTTAGATCAAGTTTACAAAGAAGACTTTTTTTTTATAAGTTTATACGCGAGAATCAAAAGCCATTACCCATAGCAAGACTAAACTGCAAAATACCAAATTACTTACATTAGTTGCATTAGATTTAAATCATATTAATAAACTTGCAATTGACTTTAAGTAAAGTAATACATTCGGTAAAACCTTTAAGCTTTCGGAACGGAATTCTGCTATTAATAGTGATTTTAAAACTAAAAAGATACCTTTTTTTCTCAGTCTAATTGAGATTTTTAACCTCTTTTTTGCTGTTTTGCGTGATAACTAATCTTGAGTGTTTCACTCCAAAAGAAAGAAACGAATCATTCTCTCTACTAATTTATGCCTCATTAATCCCAGAAAGAGGCGAGTAAAAAGGCCTGATCTTTCATCCAATATCTAATTAGTTCTGATTGTTTGCCTTACGGAAAAGTTTTTACAACTACCGTTAGGGTGTGTCATGGTAGTATGCTATCAAACTGCAGCCGTTACATCAGTCCTTATTGCCAGAAATAGGGCCTCATATTCTTGGCGTAGAGTTGAAAATTCACTTACTTGCTTTGAAAGAGCCATGTGGAGAAGAAACTGCTTCTTTGTCAAAACGAACTCAAAATTTCAGTTAAGCTGTTGTTGTTTACTCCGTCACCGACTAAGCTGAACTGACTACATTGCTAGGGTGGATCGATTTTAACGCTAGATCGGATCAAAAGACACACCTTGATCGACGCATTAAAACAGGTTAGGCTGGATCTTGACAGGTTGGTCTGGACAAACGGGACAAATAAATCTTTGTTCTTTACTGACAGGTTCACGTGATGTGCAGTGTGCATGTACTTTTCCACAGCCTTACCTAACCAAACTTGGCTAATTTGTGAATTTCAACTCTTACATAATATTGAGCTCTAAAGTTAATTTAAAACAACCAATTGAAAACCTTGAAATTAATCTTGATACGATTTCATTAGTGACTTTGTTATAACGATACCTTACAGCTTCAGCACAAGCCGCTAAAAAACCCCAACAAAAGGCTTACAAGTAAAAAAAACTAAAAAGTGAATGTTGAACATCTATCAGAAACTAGGGTGCAATTATCAATAAGCACTTTTATCAATTCTGGAAGGCAGAAAAAAGTGTGCTATCAATTGCAGCTACAAGGTTTTGCAGAGGAAGTAAAAGTTAATGCTGGTCTAAAAATTAATTATTCCCGAGATCAGGAAATAGAGTGTGTTTAAAAAGCTCAAAAAGTCATGCCGGTCACCGCCTCATTGACACAATTGGAGTGATTAAAATGTCCAGAATATGTCACTTACCAAGTAAAACAGTGAAACGGGGTAGACGATTTGGGAAAAGAAAAATAGGGTCCTGAACTTTTCTCGTCAATGAAACAAGGAGAAGACTTTAAATATGGTTGTTCTTGAGTTGTGAATTCTTGTTTCAATTAAACAAGATTTGTGACGAGTAGGCTGTATTTGGGAGGTAATGGAAGTGTCGGCATAAGTTTAAAAAGACTACAGATCATGACCCGGTATGGTGGTTAGATTAAACGTAAACTTGTTTTCAGCTTGTCATCCATAGTATGAAATGCTTATCAGTAGTCAAGGAGCAGCGAGAACTGCTTGTACAACAGGCTTAATCACTACCGCACTTGACTGACTACATAGATATAGACTATAAAAACATTGCCCGGCTATTCTAGATCTCAACTCAGACAACTCAGCGACTGAGCTGTGAAGACACTTTTTTATTAGCGTAGGTAAAATTGGTAATATTGCTGATTATACATTATCCATATTAAAAACGTGATATGTCATGATTGTCTTCTTAAGTTAAGCGTCCTTTGAATAAGGTGATTTGTTAAAGGTACAGAAATCTATTTTAGAATCATTAAGAGAAATCTTTCACCGCTAGTAAGTAAGTAACATTACTTTCCAGAACTGACCTTTATTAAGCGGTCATTTATACTCAGAAGCGGTCGCGCCGTGATCACCTTTTCTGTGTTAGTTTTTATTGTCTCCACCTGGATTTAAAGGTCACTTTGTCAAGATGAACCACACAAGCCCAGTAGAAACACTGTGCACAGCATTTGGCGCTCTTTTGCTTCCTTTTTTGGCACAAGATGAGGTAAACACTTTGTGGACCCCTTTGCCGGGTCAACTCGTCGAGCTATGGATATTTCGCTTGTGTTGTCACCGTCTTGATTTTCTTGATAAACTTCTAAGTTTGTCAAACCTGTATGAAAGGGTCAACATGTATTAAGAATGGCTTGAAATAGTCAACGATGGACGCAGGATAATCAGTAAAGGCTCTGTTACCATAGCAAAACACAGCCGACAATATGTCAAAGGAGAATGGGAGGGGTCCACCCTTGGTTACTCGCAGTGTCAAGATCTGTTTTCCCCTACAAAAAAAACACAACAAGAATGAAATACAAATCGATTAAACTAAATGAGAAAAGTAGAGAAGAGCCTTTTGAGAACTAAGCTAAACACTGCCTATTTATCAGTCTAATTTAACTAAATAACAATACATGTAGGGGCTTAGGACAGCCTGCTATATAATTTAAATATAAAGTTTCATTTCGATTCTGCCATGTTAATCTCGCCCTTTTTCAAGATTAATGGCAAGTCCTATCACGACACAATATACTTTTATACCGCTTACCTAGCCTAAAGAATCATTAATACTGTTGAACAGGTTCATTTATTTAATTAGTTTTTATTTGTTCCTTCTTCAGAAAAGTAATAATTAATCATTATTGAAAAAAGTAATTTTTGAAATATAATGTCAGGTCACTTTAGTGGCAGAGTTGTTGAGATGATAGTTTGCGTAAATATGATAATATAAACGACGTTTGATCCCGGCCAGCAAAAAATTGACGATCGTCGTAGCCTATCATTTGCGAATAACACCGTGTTTTGATAAATCAATGTCAAATTTGCCATTCAAAGAAAAGTTGTTATTGGTTTTGAGTAATGTAGAATAACTTACATTTTTTTCTGGTTTTTACTTACGATGATTAGTAAAACGACTTTCACAATTCATAGAGCTTTCTGTTGCACCTAAGGCCATAGTGTCTCTTTTGGTATGATTGAGTTTTCGGAATCTCTCGCCTTATACTCAGCACAGCTAATTTAAAATAATTTTAGAATTTGACTTTTCATCACAAAAATATCCCGAAATTGACGACTACTCTTATTTCTCTTAAACCTATAACAGTGAAGATCTTCAGTTGCCTTTTACTATGAAGGGAGGTGTGTTGATCGACTTACTCGTACGGCTTCCCCTGCCTTCACCCTCGATTGTAAAGGAATGCCCATTGACAGATCCTTCCATGTGGTATGTCATCGTCATGTCATCTTTGATAACCTACATTCACAAAATGCACAATAGTGAATCCACATAAGAGCAGGTGTGGCTTACAAAGTGAAGCTTGAAGTTGTAATTATAAAAGGTTAGGAAGCTTAACATCGTTCTCGTTTGAAAAAAACAAAACAAAACAAATTAAGTTGGGCAAAAGTGAAGCTATTCTGAGGGTGAGTATCTACATGTCTCAAAAGATCGATTGACCTCCTATTCAATATTTAGATCAAGTTTACAAAGAAGACTTTTTTTTATAAGTTTATACGCGAGAATCAAAAGCCATTACCCATAGCAAGACTAAACTGCAAAATACCAAATTACTTACATTAGTTGCATTAGATTTAAATCATATTAATAAACTTGCAATTGACTTTAAGTAAAGTAATACATTCGGTAAAACCTTTAAGCTTTCGGAACGGAATTCTGCTATTAATAGTGATTTTAAAACTAAAAAGATACCTTTTTTCTCAGTCTAATTGAGATTTTTAACCTCTTTTTTGCTGTTTTGCGTGATAACTAATCTTGAGTGTTTCACTCCAAAAGAAAGAAACGAATCATTCTCTCTACTAATTTATGCCTCATTAATCCCAGAAAGAGGCGAGTAAAAAGGCCTGATCTTTCATCCAATATCTAATTAGTTCTGATTGTTTGCCTTACGGAAAAGTTTTTACAACTACCGTTAGGGTGTGTCATGGTAGTCTGCTATCAAACTGCAGCCGTTACATCAGTCCTTATTGCCAGAAATAGGGCCTCATATTCTTGGCGTAGAGTTGAAAATTCACTTACTTGCTTTGAAAGAGCCATGTGGAGAAGAAACTGCTTCTTTGTCAAAACGAACTCAAAATTTCAGTTAAGCTGTTGTTGTTTACTCCGTCACCGACTAAGCTGAACTGACTACATTGCTAGGGTGGATCGATTTTAACGCTAGATCGGATCAAAAGACACACCTTGATCGACGCATTAAAACAGGTTAGGCTGGATCTTGACAGGTTGGTCTGGACAAACGGGACAAATAAATCTTTGTTCTTTACTGACAGGTTCACGTGATGTGCAGTGTGCATGTACTTTTCCACAGCCTTACCTAACCAAACTTGGCTAATTTGTGAATTTCAACTCTTACATAATATTGAGCTCTAAAGTTAATTTAAAACAACCAATTGAAAACCTTGAAATTAATCTTGATACGATTTCATTAGTGACTTTGTTATAACGATACCTTACAGCTTCAGCACAAGCCGTTAAAAAACCCCAACAAAGGGCTTACAAGTAAAAAAAACTAAAGAGTGAATGTTGAACATCTATCAGAAACTAGGGTGCAATTATCAATAAGCACTTTTATCAATTCTGGAAGGCAGAAAAAAGTATGCTATCAATTGCAGCTACAAGGTTTTGCAGAGGAAGTAAAAGTTAATGCTGGTCTAGAAATTAATTATTCCCGAGATCAGGAAATAGAGTGTGTTTAAAAAGCTCAAAAAGTCATGCCGGTCACCGCCTCATTGACACAATTGGAGTAATTAAAATGTCCAGAATATGTCACCTACCAAGTGAAACAGTGAAACGGGGTAGACGATTTGGGAAAAGAAAAATAGGGTCCTGAACTTTTCTCGTCAATGAAACAAGGAGAAGACTTTAAATATGGTTGTTCTTGAGTTGTGAATTCTTGTTTCAATTAAACAAGATTTGTGACGAGTAGGCTGTATTTGGGAGGTAATGGAAGTGTCGGCATAAGTTTAAAAAGACTACAGATCATGACCCGGTATGGTGGTTAGATTAAACGTAAACTTGTTTTCAGCTTGTCATCCATTGCATGAAATGCTTATCAGTAGTCAAGGAGCAGCGAGAACTGCTTGTACAACAGGCTTAATCACTACCGCACTTGACTGACTACATAGATATAGACTATAAAAACATTGCCCGGCTATTCTAGATCTCAACTCAGACAACTCAGCGACTGAGCTGTGAAGACACTTTTTTATTAGCGTAGGTAAAATTGGTAATATTGCTGATTATACATTATCCATATTAAAAACGTGATATGTCATGATTGTCTTCTTAAGTTAAGCGTCCTTTGAATAAGGTGATTTGTTAAAGGTACAGAAATCTATTTTAGAATCATTAAGAGAAATCTTTCACCGCTAGTAAGTAAGTAACATTACTTTCCAGAACTGACCTTTATTAAGCGGTCATTTATACTCAGAAGCGGTCGCGCCGTGATCACCTTTTCTGTGTTAGTTTTTATTGTCTCCACCTGGATTTAAAGGTCACTTTGTCAAGATGAACCACACAAGCCCAGTAGAAACACTGTGCACAGCATTTGGCGCTCTTTTGCTTCCTTTTTTGGCACAAGATGAGGTAAACACTTTGTGGACCCCTTTGCCGGGTCAACTCGTCGAGCTATGGATATTTCGCTTGTGTTGTCACCGTCTTGATTTTCTTGATAAACTTCTAAGTTTGTCAAACCTGTATGAAAGGGTCAACATGTATTAAGCGGTCATTCATGATCAGTCATTCCCCAATTAATACATGTTTGACTGTAGTTATTCTAATAAGTTACGTTTGTAACGGAATCAGCGTGAGCTCTAAGTTAATGTAATGACCGATTAAAATAACAATTTTAAAAGCGATCGTTTTGCATTTTCTTCAAACCATATTTGTTTTATTCCTTAGCATTGATATCTTTGTCATAATACAGTATATTTCAGATAATTATTTCTTCGGATAGTGTCAAGTCTACATTATGGGAGTATTATTTCTAAAGCATTGAGTACAGCAACTATAAACAAATTGCGAATTTTTGTCATTCCATTGAGTCTGGAAAGGTAAAAGCGTTGCCTATGTATGTGCTTTTTTAATTTTAAATAAATTAAAAAATATCCGTAAACTTGTGTTACAAGGAATTGTGACCTCTTAGTAAAGTAACGATCGATTAAAATGACAAACAATGACAAAGATATCAATGCTAAGAAATAAAACAATGACAAACAATCTTTATCTTATGTTCTTGGCACCCACAACTTCGTTTAGTACAATATAATCTCCCATAGAAGTTCATACAGCTATGAACGCTAGTCTGCATCTGCATAACTGGTGTCATTTTATCGCGTTTTTCGGGCGAGCGAAGGTAAGCGCGAAGCGACCGAGGAGCGCCAGACCACCAGACACGCGACTGGAGAAGGCGCGAATGTCTTGCCTTCACTCCTCTGGAAAACGCAAAAAATAACGGGCTCTGCGGGCTATATGAATGGGAGCGGTCGTCTTTCTTTCCTCGGAGCTACGCGCAGCGAGTGAAAAAGTGAAATTATGCATCAAAAGAAAACGAGTTAATGCACAGTAAAATAATATTTATTTAGACAGTCAAGTATATATTACGTTGGCACGCAGCGGGGTCATTGTGCAGATTGTGTTTTACAGCGAGAGCGTGTAGTTGGTAGTACCGAGATTTGATGGCTAAACTCTTGATTGATCAGAAACTCGTTATTTGTCCCAGTCGCTGTTAAAAACCACTCCTCAGAAACCGCAGGGGTTGCTGGAAATAACATAGCAAAAAGCTGTTTTGTTCTTTGGAAAAGCTGAGAGTTAAATAGTTTTAACTGGCAGTATAAGATTTGTTTTGATTAGGGACGATTGTGGGCTAAGAATACCAAAACTAAGTTGAATTTTGATTCGAACAGTCGAGAAGAATATCAAAATTGTCAACATGACAATCGACTTTTATCCAAACTATGACACATTGCTCTAACTTTAAGCTACTTTACAAGAATGCTTTTAAGCTGATTGATTTGGAGATGCATTTATATGCTATGATTAACACTGGAAAAAGTGACCGTACCTGAGAAATAGAGATGGACCCGAAAATATGGCCATGTTTCAGTACGGAGGAAAACTATAAAATGGCGCAAACCGGCTGATAAAAAGGTAGCTGGCGTTAAGTTTTTGCAGTCCATTGCCTCATGACTCAAAATAAAGCGATTGAATGCATTCATCTCTTACATAAAATTAAACTCCGGCTTAGCGATTTAGGGAAAGAAAAATAAGTTCCTTAACTTATATCGTTCTTGCTTTTATAGTGACAATTCACTCCGTTTAACACTGGCTCACATTCACTTTTTTCTTGATTTAAAAAAACAAAATGAATCACATCAGAACTTGTTTATATCATAGATGTTGAGTCACACAAACAAAGCGGCTGTCAAAAGTTTAGCGGCTTTTTTATAACCTAAAGTAAGAATGGAGAGTTTGCAAAATAGACATCAATAATTCACATTGGCGGGGGGAGGGGAGGAGGGGTAGGGGATTAGAATATTTTGCTTAAATTATGAAGTACAAAAGTTTCTGTGTAAAATGATTCTTTTTCAGTGACTAAAGATAAATAATCACAGAAATCTGGTCCTTGGAAAAATGGAATTATCAGTTGGTAAATACTGATGCCCCGTGGGTAATAAACTAACGATTTCATGAGAAAAATAACTTTTCTCAGTTTGAATGGAATAAGCCAGAAACTACGAAATTTTCGACCAGGAGTAATGAAAACACCCTATTATTCCTCATTCGGTTTGTATAGCTTTTTGCCACTGGCAAGCAATTTTTTTAAGTTACACATTAAGAGGGTGCCCTCAAGCACTACCACAAAAGAGCGTGAAAAGGCCATCTAATAAGACGTCTGACTATTAATTTCTCGGAGGTGATTTAGTTTCAAAGTCGGTAAATTCTTGTCTGTCTCGGTTAATTAATGTCTTCAAAAGAATATAAAAACAGCGGCGGTTGCGTAAAGAGAAAATGATTATACAGTAATGGCCATAGGGGATAACAGGGTGCTGATTGCCTAAATTGTTATACAGGAGCCGATTGAATGTAACTGATTCTAGTATTTAGCGGACGTCGCTTTTCTGGATTTTGTCGCGAATTTTCCATCAAATCGTCAGTTTTTTAACGAAATCCTCTCTTATATATCAACAATTGCTTTGCGTGGTGCCTCTACTAGGAGGTTAAGC